GCCTCCTGCACACCCCCCACTGGGGATGTGCCCGCAACCAAGGCACATGCCCTCGACTGGAATCAAACCCGGGATGCCCCAGACCACAGGCCGATGCTCCATCTACTGAGCCAAACCAGTCAGGGAAGAATTACATCTTGATGGCACTGTTTATCTTCAGAGGGTAATATGACATAATGGAGATTAGCATGGACTCTGAAAGTTGAGGAACCCAAGCTCATATCAGAAGAAACTTTCAGTGCTAGAAAACACTTATATTTAACTCCACCTGTGCATGAAATATAAATGTAGAGATCAATCTTGTTTACATATGTAACACCCAATATAAGATGTAGACTCTTTTTCAAGATTTTAGAAGTTTCTTTCATCCCCCTTTCCGACGACTACCCTCAGAATTTCTTAATTTTCTGACCTTTATAATCATTGATAGTACCATCACTTCATGAAATTCATATCAGAGGATTTATATGATGTATTATTATTTGTGTCTCATTTCTTTTGCTCAACATAATATCTATGAAATTAACCCATATTATTCTTCCTAGCATGATTTTATTCTTCTTTTATAGCTGTGTAGTATTCTACTATTGCTATTTACTACCATTCTTCCATTTTCCGGTAGGCAGATTTGTAAGTTGTTTCTAATTTGAAAATATTATGAATAAAGCTATGCCAAACATCCTTTCACATATGATTTTGAGGATCTATATGCTCATGTCTTTTGGATATAATAAGAGCAGTAAATTTAACGACTCATGATGTAGGCATATGTTTAATTTTAGTAGGTACAGTTTTGCACATCCTTTTATCCACGTGATACAACCACCAGCAGTGAATGAGAGTTCCAGATCCTGCAGATACTTCCCAGTAATTAGTATTATAAACCTATTTAATTTTAGCTATCCTGGTAAGTAAGTCATGGAGGAATAAATTTGAGTTTACCTGGATAGATGATATTGAATATATTTCATATATTTTTTGAGATTTGGATATTATCCTTTATCAATTCTTGTTTACATTTGTGTTCTCTTTTCTGAGGAGCCTTGATTTTCCCCATATTGCTGAAGGATATTTTCTCTGGAAATAGGACTCTGTTGACAGTTCCTTTATTTTTAAACTTTATGGTTCCTAATGGAAAACCTGTTGTCATGAGAATTACTTTTTCCTTATAGATGAAGTGCTATTTGTCATTCAGAACTTTCAAGATTCTTTTCTTTGTTTTTATTTTTCATAAATTTAACTATGATGTCGGTGCTGATATCTTTGGGTTTATCTCATTTTGTATTTGCTGACCTTCTTAAAATTGAGGATTTCTGTCTTTGGACCAATTGGAAGCGTTTTCAGCCATTATTTCTTCAAGTACTCGTTCAGCTGCATCTTCTTTCATTTCTTCCTGGACTCCTAATGTTACAGTTTTATTTTGTGGTGATTTGTTGTTGTTGTTGTTGTTGTTATGACTCCACTGGTTCCTGTCGTTCTGATCTTTTTCTGTTGCTGTTTTCAAGCCCATTTTCTCTCTATTCTCATTGGATATTTTTATTGTTAAATTTTCTAGTTCCCTGAGTGTTTCCTCTGTTCCATCCATTCTGTTTTGAGCCTATTCACTGAGTTATTTATTTCAGTTATTATAGTCTTCTGTACTATAGTTTTCATCTGGTTTTTCTTTATAGCTTCATTTTCTTTGCTGAGACTTTCTATTTACTTGCCATAACTTGCTTTTTTTCCCATTTAATGATGTTCAAAATCACTCATGTAAAGATTGTTTTGATGGCTGCGTTAGACTTATTATCAAATAACTCTATCATCACTAATAGTGTTAGTTTCTGTTATCTCTTTTATTCAGTTTTAGATCTTTCTGCTTCTTTGTATGAATAATTTCATATTTGAAACTTAGAAATTTTGAGCATTATGAAACTCTGGATCTTGTCAAGCCCATTTTATCTGACTTGCTTTGTTATTGCTCTGGTAATGGCAGGGTGAAATGCCATCTCATTATTTCAAGAAGAGAGTACATGCCGAAACCGGTTTGGCTCAGTGGATAGAGTTTCGGCCTGCGGTGAATGGTCCCAGGTTCGATTCCGGTCAAGGGCATTTACCTGGGTTGCGGGCACATCACCAGTAGGAGATGTGCAGGAGGCTGCTGATCGATGTTTCTAACTCTCTATCCCTCTACCTTCCTCTCTATAAAAAATCAATAAAATAT